TGTAATGAGGATTGAGCCAGGCTCTTTTCAGTGGTGCCCAGTGCTAGGACCAGAGGCAATGGGCATAAACTGAAGAGCTGTAGGTTCTCTCTGAACTTCAGGAAACACTTTTTCACTGTGAGGGTGACCAAGCACTGGCACAGGTTGCCCAGAGAGGTGGTGGAGTCTCCATCCATGGAAGTCTTTAAAAGCCACCTGGACATGGTCCTGGGCAACTGGCTCTGGGTGGCCCTACTTGAGCAGGGCAGGTGGACCAGATGATGTCCAGAGGTCCCGTCCAGTCTCAGATGTTCTGTGATTCTATGATTTGGTGAGGAAATGCAAAGTTGCTGCGCAAGTAAAGGAGCACACTTTAATTAAAGGCATAGTAAGACCATAGGAAAGCTGCTGTTTTGTTAGAAAGCATGTTTTCCTTCGGATTTTTACAAGTCCAAGAAGGTGTCTACTGAAATCCTGAATGCAACTGTACTGTCACATCACCTAGTGCCTGCACCTGGTCAGGGAATGGAGAGAGAATCTGTATGGCTCTATGAGGCAGTGTCAGGTCATTAGTGAAGATATTACACTGTATTAGACTCAGTATTAATCTCGGGCATACACCATTAATGACTGACCTCCACCTGACTTCATATTGCTCACCATGACCCTTTGAGTCTGGCAGTTCAGCCAGTTTTCAGTCCACTTCACTGTCCACTATAGACCTTCTTTCAGCAGGTTGTCAATAAAGATGTTACAGGAGACATTGTTGAAAGTTTAGATAAACAACTTCCACTGCTCTCCTCTCATTCACTGGGTTAGTTGTCTCACTATAAAAGGCTATCAGATTAGTCAGGCTAATTTTCCCTTCATAAATCCATGCTGACTATTTCTAATCACCTTTTCGTCTTTTATATGTTTGAAAATAGCTTCCAGGAGGGTTTGCTTCAACAGCTTTCAAGGAACCAGTGTGAGGATGACCAGCCTGTAGTTCCCTGGATTCTCCTCCTTGAAGATTTGAGTAACATTTGCTTTCTTCCAATCCAGTCCTCAGGAACCTCTCCCAATTACCATGATCTTTCAAAGATTATTGAGAATGGTCTTGCAATGACATCAGCCAGTTCCTTCACCACTCATGGGTGGGTCTCACCAGAGTGTCCATTTTTTTTCCCTAACCTGATCCCACTCCTCCGAGGCTAAGTCTTCCTTACTCTAGTCTTTCCCACTGGTCTCAGGAGCCTGGGATTACTGAAGACTGATTTTACCAGTAAAGACTGAGATGAAGGAAGCATTAAGTACCTCAGCCTTTTCTATGTCCTTTGCCACAGAAGACCCTGCTCCATTCCAGCAGTGGACCCATGCTTTCTCTAATCTTCCTTTTGCTGCTGATGCACCTGTAGAAGCTCTTCTTGTTAGCTTCCATGTCCCTCCTGAGTCCATCTGTACATGATTGGACAGTGTATCCCCTGAGTCATCTGTCCACCTTGTTTTTGCTTCTTTTCTAGTGTTTTATCAGGAGCACCCTGTTAATCAATGCAGATATTCTGCCACTGTTACTTGAGTATATAGGGATAGACCATTCTTAAGTTTGGAGAAGATGGTCCTTGAAAATTAATCACAATGATAGGTTCTCCCAAAAGCAGTGAAAAGCCTGTCAACAGCCAGGGTAGAAATGGGGCTTGAAAAATTATAAGACTACAAAAGTTCATATGGACATGGGGATTCCTGCAGCTCCGTTACACAAGTACTATCATAAATGCCTGGCCCAAGAAACCAGGTGTGCCTGGGGCTTTGTCTCCATGTGGGACATGGAGATGGAGACAATGGGGGGATGGGCAATGGGGGGGTGGAGAAGATCCAGGTGATCTCTCTCCTCATGTCTTTCACTGCACAATCTGTGGGGCTTCTCCTGCAGCTCCCTTGTTTGGCAATCTGTGGGCAGGGAGCTCATCTCCCTGACCCAGCCTATCTGAGATCCCCTGCCATCCCTGCAGCAAGTCCTAGAGAGCCATGGGAGCTCAGGCTGAGGCCTCTGAGGTGTCAGGGATAGCTGCTCCTGGAAGTGGTGGCTTTCCCATCCTGCAGCACATCACCACTGTCACAGAGCCCATACATGCTGCTCTCAGCACAGCGCCTAGTCCCTCCTGTGCACACTGCTCCATCTGTGCTCAGGGCTGCAGGGACAGCCTGTACCTAGGGCTCTCCCTAGTAGGTGCAAGGCTTGACTCTCCCTGATCAGGATTCAGCTGGTAACAAAGCCCAAAGCGTCTTTTGATCGGGGATAGCCAGCCAAGCTTGTTAGAGGCTGCCAGAGCTTGCAAGAAGACACAGCCTCCTGTTGCTACCTTGTCCTTGTGGCAGCAGGAATCCTGGTGGTCTTCAGTCCAGGTAATCAGTGGCCTACAGACTTTCAAAGATTGGTTTAATGTTTTAGCCAACTTTATTTCAACTGGGTCAGTCCTTTGATGACTTTGTAGAAAGTCTACAAAACTTTGTAGATGACACATCCTGCTTGAGGATTTCTTTCCTGTGCTGCTAACAGGTTCTAAATTGGGCAACAGGTTACATTGCCATCAGCTGGAATTTGATAAGCAGTGGTATAAAAGACATTATGATGTGATTTTTAGTAATAGGGCTGCCTGTGAGGGCAGACCCTCTCAACTTGTAGCTCAGCTGCTGCCCCAGCTTCTACAAAGCCCTAATTCCATAATTTAAATAGAAGCTCAAATTTAAAAAAATATTTTAAAAATAAATTGGTTTTGCCTAAGCAGGAGATAAAGCTTGCTCCCTAGGTGAATTATTCATGACCCTCCTAAGTCCATGTGAAATGCAGCTGGGAGCTGGCATCATTCTGGCAGACACAGTTATGGTGAATTATACCCACAGGAGGACTGAAGGGAAAGAGGCTCCTGTGCAAATCACAGCTGCTGCCAGTTTGAAGGGCTGTCTTGGGAAGAAACAAGGAGGCAAAGGTCACATCTCACTCTTCCTCTTATGTACCTCTGCCAGACCTCAGCCCTTCAGTTAGGAAGAGGAAGGAAGAAGTAGAGAAGACTTGATTTCCCTTGCTTTTTTGTTTCAGTGGAACAGCATGGCAGATATCGCTCACATCCTCATAGGAGCTTGAGAAATGTTAGGCAGAGGGAGATAAGTAGCTGAGGCCTACAAAGTGCCAAATAGTTTAGATAATGCTGCTGTGCATTGCCGCTCCTACGTAACCCTGACGCTAACTCTCATTCTAAGGACATATATGAAGGTTAAATAAGCACCTTAACAGACTGAATAAACGAGCCTTTTGAACAAGTATCTCAGCAAATATGTGTTCATGCTGCAATTTTTTTTCCCTATTCTCCTCTTTTATTCATCATGTGGTTTACTTCTGTGGAACTTAAAAAAAATTCTACCAAATCTCTTACATTTGTATTTAACTGAATTTTGTTCCAATTCCCATGAACTACATGGGAAAAGGAGGAGCATTTATATTTTAAGTTAAATACAGCTGTGAGCTGAAAAAATAAACCCCCCCAAACCAAGAAAGATGTGAAGCCACACATATCTAGCTGATCTGGTCAAAAAAAGCAAAGTCCACCACCATAGCTTTGTTGATTCATTTCCTCCGAGATTTTCCTGACTAAAATAATATTTGGGTATCAATGACACACACAGGGGTAGCTGAACTTCCCTTGGCACTGAGAGCGAAGAGCAGCAAAAAGGACAATTTTAAGCCAGCTTCATGCTCTCTGACACTTTGGAGTCCAAACTATGCCTAGCTACAACAGTCCCCAAAGGCATCTGAACAGCCAAGAAAAGCCAAAGCCACCATTGGAAATGTCCTCTCTTTTGGTGACTGTCCTCCTCTGCCAGAGAAGGCGAGAAGTGCTCTAAGCCACCTCAGGCTCTGGGCTCCAAAGGCTGTGTCCACCTGCTGCAGTGATACCACCTCATTGTCCCTGCAAAACCCAGCTCCTTGTTGGGGTGGGATGGGAAGACCGTCAGGGAGCACAGGCAGGATTACACCCTCCTTCAGGTGTACAAAACACCTTGCCATATAAAACTGGCCCTGTGGATCCATGCTGGTGGCAAAAGGCCAGGCTTAGCCTTCCCCCTACTAAGCTCCCCATAGCAGTTCCATGAGTCTGACCCATCCCAGTGATACAAAGATGAGAATGCAACATTTTTCTACTGCTGGATCCATTACACATCCAATGCAGGAAATTAACATTCAGGAGTAATCTTACTTTTTAGGACAAACCCAGTCCTCTACCCTGAGGTCTTGACTCTCGTGCACAGCCACACAGCACTGATACATACTATTTCTGGGTATTCTTCCTCTTTTATGGAGTCTTAAATAAGACTTGATTTCATGAGTTCACATGCCAAGCTGTCAGGAATGAAGATTTTTTTTATTGAGTTCTGATTTGACATTGTGATTCAGGGTATCTTCTGTGTGAAATTCAGTTTTCTTCTTGTTTGCACTGTCTTTCCCTCAGGATTTTCTAACAAGACTTGAAATTTCTTTCCCTTCTCTAGCATGAGAACACCCAGGTTAAAGACAAATGAGAGTAATCTGAACTGTTTTAAAAATAAATGATGAGAACCTAGCTGCTTTTCCCTTATTCACGGAAACATGCTGACCTCAAGGGCTTTGCCTGCATGAGTTAAGTTTTGTTCAAGTGAATAAGCACAGCACAGTCCTCTGATGTAAATGGAAGCAGAGAAAATCAGCATCTATTCAGATAAGGTTTTCTGTGCTCAGTCAGAGCTGACTTCATTGTACAGCAAGCAGACAGGCATGCATGGCAGCACGATCCCTTTCTGTATTTCCAAGAGGCAAAACATCTCAATCAGCCTCATGTGCACCAAACAAAGACACCAAAGGCCACCAGCCTCCTGAGCCCTGTCTGATTTTGTAGCAAACCTCCTCCAAAGGGCACACATTCACCCTTTACCTTGTGGACTCCTGCTTGTAGATGTCGATGATGTTCTCCACCAGCAGGTTCCTCTGCAGCCCGTAGACGCCATGCCGGTCGAGGACCACCTCGTGCCTGCACGAGGGACAGCGGAAGCGGCCTCCCGACGCCACAGTTGTGCCTCCTCTGGTCGGCAGGTAGGGGTTGGAGGCCTGCTCTTGCCAAGAAGCACAAGGAGAGGTGAGTAAGGCCATGCAAAGCCATAAAAACCCCTTTCAAAAGCACTGGGCAAAACCACACTTGTAGGAAACATTTGTCAATGAGCCCAAGGAGAGGGTAGCTCCAACAACCTCCCCTCAGCAAAGCACCCAGTGACCGTGAGGGGCCAGTTCCTCAGCTCACACACGTGGCCATGTCCCTGCAGCTAACGGGTGTCAATTCAGTCTGCTGTGAGCTCAGCCCTGGCCCCCAGGGAGACACAGCTTCTGTTTCAAATCACCTCCCTTCCTGCCGTACCCATGGTGGAAAGCAATCAGGCACACCATGTAAAAAACCTGCTTTTCCATTCATTTCAGCCAGTGCTGTCTGGGAAGCAGGGCTCTCTGCGGGAAGAAACCTACCTGGAAGATGTCGCTGGCGCACTTCCTACAGAGGTTGTGCTGGCAGGGCAGGATGACGACAGGCTTGGTGAACATCTCCAAGCAGATGGGGCAAATCAGCTGTTTCTCCAGGTTATCCATGGTTTCCTGCTCTTTGGAGAAGGACTTGTAGTTCAGGGCAGTGCTCATCCCTACCTTTTCCAGGGGCATACGCTTAGGATTACAGTCTCGCGGAGGGGTTTCCGGGTTAATTTCCCTTGAAATAAGTCCAAGGCTGTGCTGCGATCAGAGGCTCCCTGGGTTGCTGTGGCTGGAGGACATTGTTCAAACGCGGGGCTGAAGGGAGCAGGGGCTGTTTTTAGCAGCGCAGCGTCACGAGATGCCATCCTGCCGTGCCCATATAAGCGCGTGAGAGGAGGACAGGCTGGGACAGGTGACAGCTGGCGGGGGATGGGGGTTGGCCCCCAGGGCCCTGGCTCTCCTCACTCACACATGGTGGCCTTCACCCCTTGAGGAAGACAGCAAGCAATAAGCAAACTAAATCCGCTCCCCCCTTATCTCTGCCCGGCAGCAGAGAGCATAGGGCTGCCCCAGTCTAACAAATGCTCTGTTTCGAGCAAGCAGTCGTGGCTGTGAGATGCAGGATATTATTTTCCCCATGTGTTTTGGCAGGGTCCAGGATCTCACCTTCCCAAGGTGTGAAGCACGTGTGGTTGCTGGAGAAGACAATAGGAGCGACGGCTATGCTGGAGCTCAGACACATCAGGGTATAAACATGTCACCACCCTGAAGAACAGTTAAAAAGAAATTGCCTGCCTATAAATGTGCTTAAGGTTCTTCTGGTCTGATATTTTTCTAGGAGCTGTAACATAAGAATCTAACACAACCATTCAAGCTGTGAACTCCACAGTGGTTTAAAAATGCACAAAAAAAAAAAAAAGTTTGAATTTTCTGGTGAGAAAGAGGCAGAAGAAATACAGTATTGAAAAGCTTTCATTTGTGGTGCTAGAGAATAGGTGCTAATTGTATATGCTCTCTCTCCACACAGTTTAATTCAAATATATTTTAGTTTTGGGCACTGCTGTGTTTATATCTGTTTATTAGACACTGATATCCCTCTCAGCTTGGCACTTGTTCCAGAGTTATTTTTAAAATGACAATTTCCCAGATAATTTGTGGCATGTGATGCCTGATCTTAAGGGAAAGCCATCTGTGCTTCTACTTGTCAATTTATCACACAACTGTACAAGCAATAAATACCCTCAAATTTAAGCCTAAGTCCCTGCATGTACTGTATAAAATCACTTTGCCACTGTACTGTACATGAAATCAGAATGTTGTGTTCTCTTTTAATCAGTAACTACGATTGATTTCTCTGTTAAGTGTCTTGTAGACAGTTCTCGTTTATAATCCTTCATGACTGTACAGGGCTTGCATCTGAAAAATGCTATAGAGTGGCTGGGCAAGTCCCAGGGGCAGACCCCAGCTCCAAAGCCCTTCTCTGGAATGACCCCGACTCCAGGGTCCTTCATCTGCATGCAACACCAGTCTGGAAACTGTGTGCTTTAGAGGAATGTAAAAGTAAAGGTTTTTATTGCTCTCTGCATGAAAATGAATACTATTCTCTGCATGCAACAGCAATGATCACATTAAGTTAAATGTATTACTGACTATTTTATTTTCAAAGCCCTACATACTTTTAAAGTGTTTGGGTGAACTCCTGTACCCATTTTCAGCCCACTGAGCTGGCACTTCCCCTACCTAAACATACACATTTGTCAGCAGTCACACGAAAACAGATTTTTCTGAAGTCTTGCATTCATGGGACATATGTGATATCTCAGTTAAACCCATCTGAAATCACACCTTTGCTTTGACTGCCTAATGCAGAGGAGAGCCCGGAGCTGAGCGGGAGAAGCTGGTCCGGCAGCTGAGCCATGGACAGCTGGAGCTTTGCAGGACTGGCAGGGAGCCTCTCCTGGCATCTTCCCTCCCCTCTGTGGCTGGGTCAGAGGTGACTTTCACGTCTGCAGGAATCTGAATGCCTCATTCCTACCCTCCTAACTCTGAGTCAGCTGCCTCTCATGCATCAAAACCTGCTTTAATGAAGGAGTTTGAGTTAGAGGAGGAAAGCCATGCTTGCCTGGTAAGGCAGGCACTTCCACCTCACTACACAGGCAGAAACAGATAAAAACCAGGAGGAAAAGCTGAAGGTTAGAAATGTCAGTGCCCAGAAATACCTGCATATGGTGATGTAGGAAGGGGCGGATGTAGGCATCAAAAAAAGTTTGGGGATTGTGCTGCTGTGTCAGCCCTTTGGACAACGAACTGAGGCACCTTTCAAGGTGTAATGGGCCTTTAGGATGTAAATGTAATGAATTTATACTTAATCTGTGGTAGCCCACAAAAGCCATAAGTTAACAGGCTCAGTGTGAACCCTGATGCATCCGGATGAGGAATAACAGTTTTAAACTAAAAAAGGAGAGATTCAGGCTGGACATGAGGAAGAAATTTTTACAGTGAGGGTAGTAAAATCCTGGCACTGTTTCCCCAGAGAGGTGGTGGATGCACCATCCCTGGAGACATTTAAGGCCAGGCTGGATGTGGTTCTGGTCAACCTGATGTAGTTGAAGATGTCCCGGGTCACTGCAGGGAATTTGGACTAGATGAGCTTTAAAGGCCCCTTTCAACCTAAACTATTCTGTGATTCTGTGATTCTATGATCTGGTGGCAACAAGATACGGGACAGGCTGCTGCTGGTTTTCCCCTTTCTGTGTGCTGAAACATGCTATCACAAACCAGACGGTAAACAGTGCAACCATGAAAAGGAGCCAACAAAACAAAGAAAAACCCACCTCCTGCAGCCACACCTAAGCTGAAATATTTTTCTGGCAGGGATATGTAGTTCAGGCACATAAAAAAATAGTTCAGGTTTTTCTGTCAAAGTATTATGAACCCCAGCAGTGATTGCTAGGTAAAGAGGTGCGGAGACTCGGTCATGATTGTGAATGCTGGATGAGAAATGCCAGGAACGCCACGCACTGCAAACTGCAATGTTGCATACTTGTCCTGGGTTCAGCAGTAGCAGTCATGTTTCTCCTTCTTGGTAGCTGGTGCAGTGCTGTGTTTTGACTTTCGGCCTGGGAGCAGAGCTGATAGCGATGTTTTGGTTTGGACAAGGACTTTGTGAGCCTCATGCTCTGCCAGGGAGGAGGGGAAGCTGGGAGGAAGCAGAGACAGGACACCTGACCCAAACTGACCAAAGAGGTATTCCATACCACACCACGTCATGCCCAGGATGTAACTGGGAGTTACCCGGAAGGGCTGGGAGACTGCGGGGTTGGAGGAGGTATGGGTCGGAGCTTGGTCGGGCTGGGGGGGCGAGTTATCGGTTGGCTGGTGGTGAGGTGATGTATTCTCTTCCCTTGTTATTTCCTTTATTATTATTATCATTGGTGGTAGCAGTAGTGATCTGTGTTATACCTTAGTTACTAAACTGTTCTTATCTCAACCCGTGGGAGTTGCATTCTTTTCGATTCTTCTCTCTGTCCCTTTGGGAGTAGGGGGAGGGAAAGAAGGGGGGGAGTGAGTGAACGAGTTACCTGACTGGGTTTAAACCACGACAATACTGCACTGTAACGAGGAGAAAGAAGAGCAAAGTCCAAGAGGCAGTGGATCCAGGGGATGGTTCTGCAGCCAGTCTTCAGCAGAAATTGCTTGGGTTGGACTTTGAAGTACTTGCACTGAGAAAGAGCCCAGCACCCTCCCATCTCTCCTTAGAAGCCCTGTCATCCTTCTCTTCCTCCCCTTCCACACTTGCAAGGGAAGGCCACTGGCATGCACAGCTGTCCATCAAGCCATCTCTCAAGTGACTAACAAAGGGCAAGAGGGCCTGCTTTAACCCCACTCACAGAAACTCTGGCTGCTTTCCAGCCATCACCAAGAAGAAAATACCATTTTTACTTTTTTTTTCAGTACTGCTTGCCTTGGAATGTTACTTGGCTTTGCTGCCACAACCAGAGCACTAATTCCCAGAGATATGCTTACTTTTATGGACATTACTTTTAACTCCTCTGGTTTTGCAGCCAAGTAACAGCTTGTGGGCTGTGGACTGTTGGCCAGGAGAGCCTGGAAGGCTAGCTGTAAAGCAGTGGGTTTAGGAAAGGGATTTGGAAGAGGAAGAAGAGGCTGAGCAATGTCCAGGTTCAGGTTTCAGGATTTTGTGTTCACAGAATTCCCCTCTGCAACCTCTTCTCTTGTACCAGTGCTGTGAAGCTCTTGTGTGTCAGTCACAGAAAGTCTGCTCTGTGGCTCTCTTGCATGGCCTGAAAACAAAGACAAAAAGCGTATTTTGCCAGAGGGTATGTCCCATGTGACTTACCTGTCCACTGAGCCCAGCAGAGACAAAGCCTGCTGTGCAAGCACAGGCTCCTTGCCCAGGAATGGACATGATGGGTGGCATGGAACATCCCAGTCCATGGGATGGTGCCCTGGCCTGCAGCCACCCCACCTCCTGCCTATCCTTGGGGAGGAGCAAGGATCCCAACACCCTTGCCATCCCTAAAGCAGGTGGAGAGCAGCCCACTCTCACCTGGGCAGAGTAGATACCTGCCTTCATCCCATTGCCTCCAGCAGCTCCCTGCATTCCTGAGGATCCTGGGGCTCAGCAGAGGGCTTTGCAAGACAGCTCTGCTGCTGGAAGAATACGGGGCTGGTTGGTGCCTGGAACCAGCAACCCATCTCCCCTCAGCTTTGCCCTCCCTTACTCACCTCTTGGCAAAAAGCTCTGGCTGCCCGAACACTACAACATCCTAACAAAAAGGAGGCTGCTGCATCCATTTCTGCCCACCCACATGTGAGATTTAGAATAAAATGACAGGGCAGCCTTCCCCTCCTCCCATCCTGCTAAGCCTCCCTTGGGGAGGTAGGGGGGAGGCTCTCCATCCATCCCACCTTTTTTCTGTGCCCATTTACCCTGCAGTGAGCAGCCCCTCAGCAGCGAATGGTGAGCACCAGCATTCCCACCTACAGCAGGCATGTTGCAGGAACTCAAATCTCACTTACATTTGCAACAACTCGCTAAGCCAATGAGCCAGCTATAAGATGAAGCCCTCCTACCTGCACAAGTGCAAGTTGCAAACAGTATCTAGCATTTTTGCCGACTTGCCCAGCAAGTCTGTCGATGACACCAACCTCTGTAGTGCAGTTGACACATGGGAGGAAAAGGGAAGGTTTAGACTGGATATTAGGAAAAATTTCTTCACGGAAAGGGTGATCAGGTATTGGAACAGGCTGCCCAGGAAGTGGTGTAATCACCACCTCTGGAAGTGTTCAAAAAACATGTAGACAAGGCCCTCAGTGACATGGTTTATCAGTGTACTTGGCAGTCCTGGAGTAGCAGTTGGACTTGATGAGCTTAAAGGTCTTCAACTTAGTTGATTCTATGAGCCTATAATTTCATTGTTTTATTGTGATCACTCAACATCCCACAATAAGTACCAAAACTACTCTTGTATGTCAATTTATGTTGTCAAAGACAGCCTTTGCAAATGACAAGCATTTTCAAAAGTAGTTGCTTTTTGAGAATGACATTTTTCTACTCTACATATATATATTTTTCTTTGTGTACCTCATACATGACGATAGGCCATATGCGGTCAGTATTTTGATACCTTCTAAAAACTACCAGAGAGATGGTTTCAGATCTCCCAGAAAACAAGGACCAGCACAGGAGATAATGACATCTTTCAAAATTTCCTTTTGCACATACAAAATCATAACAGCAGGGGCAAGCTCAAAGGATTTCTAATGGTGAGCCATTGAGAGTACATCAAATATGCAGGAGCACAGGATTTCAGGGACAAGCTACAAAGATCAGTAAGAGGGATGATTCTTTTGAATAGGGGATGGACCCTGACTTGAGCTGAATTGTGCTTGAAAACAGCTTTCTCTGGCCTTATCCATGCTCAGAAAGCTTCCACAGATGGGAGTAAACAGACAGAAACATGGGATCAAAGGGCAGATGAACTAGATTATAATTTCTGTCCAGATTCATCAGCAGTACCAACATAAATTATAGCAGAGAAACCTCAGAGATTCAGATTAAAGGACCTTGAAACATGGAGAGTCCACGGATGAACTCCATTGAGGATTCTACCCTGTGGGCCGTGGCTCTGCCACTGGTGGGACACCAATGCATGGGATCGCTGCTCTCAGCTCCCTGCCTGGGAGCAGGAGGATCCTGTGGCTTCTTGCTGCCCTTCAGTATTGCCAGCAGGCCCGTGTGGACCTAAGTGTCACCCA